CACCTTGATACATTGAGGCAAACGAACCCGTGCCCATGAGTGGTCCTGACCTGCGCTGGGTCGTTCTCCGCCCGTGCACGCAGCAAAATTCTGAGCAAAAATTCCATCAATGGGGGTATTAGTGTGTCTACCCATCCCGACTAAGGTACCATTGCCAATAACCAAATCAGTCACGCAATAATTGAAATCACCGCGACAGACCCACGGGGTAGAGGAGTGAGTTCCAACAACCGAATAAACAAGTTCGGGGTCCCAACATTTAGGCCGCTGATACACATTGCACAACTGGAAAGCAAAACCAGCTGGAAAAACTTCGACCTGCAGATACTGGCCGTTGTCCTTGGCCAGGCTAGCCGTGACGGTGAAAGCCAAAGGTTCACGAACAGCAACAGCTAAGCCACCCCGATTTCTTCCGAAAGGGGCAGTAAAAGCCACTTGCCATCCATATTTCCGGGCGAGACTAGCCTGCACCGCAAAGTGTTGAGTGCGCAAATTCGTTTCCTGGAAACAAATGACGTGAACGTCTTGCTTTCGAGCTTCAACCTACAAGTTTTCAGCGCGCTTACTCCAGCTAGAGATGTTACTGGACCAAATGCGCAGAGAATGACTCTGCGGGGCAGAACCTGACAGACCCGGATGACGAGCTTCGCCAACCCTTTCACCCTTTCACCGCGCTTTCCTCTGAGTGTCATGCTGGTACCATCTGCTTTTTTACTAAGGTTCCGGCGCTGAGCAACCCATAAAGCACGAGCATACGCGCTTTCCTTAATACTCATGTTTCCTTTGTAACGCTCCTGACGCGCTGTCTTGAGTGCACCTTTATGCAATTTGTTGAATCCACGCCAAAGCCGAACCCGTTTTTCCTTTGAAGGCATTCTTTTCCCAGGGTTTTTAGGGCAGGGGTCTCTTTTTGGAACATCTCCTCTGCACATACTGACACCACAGTCAAGGCATTTTTGTTTGTAAACAACGAACCATGCAGAACGTGAGAAAGTCTTTTCACTCTCATAGCTGATGCGATGACTTCCTGGCCAGCGACGTTTCTGATACGCTTCCCAGACAGCTTTCCAAGCAATCTCATGGTTGTGTCTGACACGGGCAGCAGTGCAAATGGCAATGTCCTGCAAACCATGGCGGGGCAAGGGAGGAGGTTTGTTGACAGCGTGAACCCTTTTGAGATGGTTTTTTCGGTGGCTGAAATGAGAAGCGCAATACTTCCCATTAGGAAACTGTTGGAAGATCTGCAAACCACAGAGGTGGCAAGTCCACCAAGGACGACCTTTCTTTTCTTCAAGGGAAATCTCGTGTACCGTGCCAAGTCGCCCTTTCAAACCGCTTGGCACATTGCTCGTGGCCACTGCGGCGGCTGGAGACTGCCAATTGACTGTGCGCTGTCAAAACCAACACGACTACTTTCTGGTGTAGTTTTCGTCCAATACCTGATCCGTGAGGAGGCTGGTGCGCCTGTATCGACCTTAGTTTGGCACATGGGGACAACATCCCTTTGGGGGGTGACCGGTTCACAAAAAATGTGACCTTTGGAGACGGAACCCTTAGCGCGAGCGGAGAACGGCGCCGGACTCTGCCTACGTCCAGTTTTCTGACTGGAAGCTGCGACCGAGCGGCTGCGCTGAGAAGGGGTAGCTTCAGCCCAAAAGCGACCTGCCCCCCGCAACCTGAGCCGAGCACAATCATTGGTGTTCGTGGCCTTTTGCCAATCTTGTGGGAAAGTGAAGCCAGCTTGCTTTGTGATCAATTGAAAAAGTTCGGCAAAGGGGAGCCGAACCATCGTCTTTTTCTTCAACCACCACAATCTTCACACCGCATCGCTTAGAAATAGCATCCAGGGTCAAGCCACACAACCACTGGCCATCTCTAAGGGTACTATTACACCAGCTTTCAAAGCTATCAGGGACCGGCCCTCCGGCAGTCGTGGGGGTTTCATCAGGGTTGGGAGCCCAAAGGTGCCGGTAGTCGTCAGCATGTCGCAGCAGGTAGGTATAAATGTCTGACCGCAATGTCTTAGTAGCAGTAGCAACCTCAGCTTTTGCTTGTTCCAAAGGGACTTGGCGCGCTAGGGCCCAAGCGGCACTGATAGAATTCCATCCACAGTTCCCCTGTCCTCCACAGTCGATGATTTCGTAAGGGCGTTCTGTATCAACCTTAGGCCGTTTTGCGCCGTGCTCAGGGGCGACAGTTGGTGCAGCCTCAGTTTCTCGTTCACCTGACAGGTTAACATCCGCAGTGGGGCCAATGGTGGTAGTACTACGGTTGGCAGACCAGGACCCAGCACCAATCGCCTTTTTGTTCAAAACAGGCTTCTTGCGGCGGGGAAGTTTGCTGATAGAAAGACAAACACCGTTGTTTTCAACCCCAAAAACCTGAGAATCCTGGAATTCATTTTTGACCTTGGTGAGGACCAGCCAGGGAGAACGAGAGGACGCCCGCTGCAAAATCGTGTCCTGGAACCCGGCAGCCTCGAGACATCGATGAAGATCTAGCGAATTCCATTTGTTGGGGACTCCAGCAACCTGCCACAGTTTGGCTTTAGCCTCCGCAGGCTCGACTTTGCCAACAATACCTAAAGAAGCTCCTCCTCCGATCCGAAATTTGAGTGGGGCATTTCTGGTGTAGCCAACTTGTTGGATCCTGGGAAGGTATTCACCATCAACCTTAGAAATCCACGCGACTGTCGGCGGGTTAGGATATTGTCTTTGGTCATCTGAGTCAGGAAACACCTTTGGATCCCGAGCGACGCAACGTGTCAAAAACGGCGGCCTGATCGAGTTTGAGAAAACCTTCCAAGACAATCTCTTCTCCCCCAAACTTAGTTTTGTGGGTGACCTGGGAACATTTGAAAGTGCTGTGAAAAACACTAGGTTCAACAAGGCTCTTCAGGGTGGCAGCCGGATTGCGGGTGACCTGAGACCAAGCCTCGTGCGTCTGGAAACGTTTGGGTATCTGAACTCGAAGGGTGCTCAGTGATCTCTGAACAGGAGCAGCGCTGGAAGACATGGTACAACTGGGCAAAGTAGGAAACTGGTCAGCAAGGGGGAAAGTCCAGAAATCCCTCTTTGTCAGTGGTCGGAAGGAGTCGCTTGACCCCTCCTGGGTGCGGCGCTTCTGTCTGGCCGGGCTTAATTAACAAGACAAACAATAGCGAAAGCCTTCTTGATGTTATGGATCTGAGCCAAGTTACGAAGTTCGGGCACCTGATGTTCCAAGGCCCAAGTGACACAACCTTGCGGCCCTTAGCCAACATGTCACGAAGCCCTTCTCAGGCCAGCCCGCAGGCAGCAGGCGAACAGGCTGAAAACTATTTCCTGAAGCGGCAGTTTTTTGAGCCGCTTTTGGATAGTGTTGCCCTTTTCCTTTACCTTTGCCTTTACCTTTAGAGAAGGAAATCTCAGGATGCTTTTCAGCAACGGCACCTTTTCCTGCATTTTTCTTCTTAGCTCGACGCTATTTGACAAGCCCTGACCCTTTGAAGCGGAAGCGACCAAACTGTGTAGCTGTTGCAACAACCCTGAGCCCTGGCTTTTTTGAGACCGCTCAACAAGAGGTGTCAAGGCGCTCAACGAAGCCTCATCGCCTCCAGGAACCGATATAATTCTTGCGGTGGAGAAACCTTACTGGTACCCTTGATGCCCTTAGAAGGCTTACCCTTAGTAAGGTGAAGAGTGGACCCCTTACCTTTACCAGTGCGAGCATCCTCGGTTTTCCCCTTGTTCTTGCCCTTAGAAGGTTCTCCATCGTGAGGTCGGGGAAAACTAGCAGAACCACCTGGCTCACTAAAAGCAGCCAAAACCTCCACAAGGCTATTCAACAGGTCCTTTTCAGTCGCTCCCCCCCCCAAACAGACAGTTCAAGGCGGGAGAACAACGAGCCCCGTCAAGGAAAACATTCTTAGTGTAAACCCTAGGACAGCCCCGCCACCTGCCGTCCGAAGGCGCAGGCGCAGGCGAGCACCGATCCCACAACTGAGGTAGAGTGAGGGCAAACGCAACCACAAACATGCACCCAAGACATCCACCAAGCCGAACGAGCACGAAAACCTCCCAAGTGCTGAAGCCAGCAAAAGGAAAGAAACCAGCGATGGACCTGAACCGAAAAGAAGGCCAGGGGAGCGAGCCAAAACCAAAGCCGAGCAGCGAGAGCCAGGCCCCACCAAAGAGAGAAACCAAGGACCAACAGCCGACCACGGTCACAATCAAGTCGCCAAACCCTCCTACGATAGCATCGAATAGGCAGGGGTTTACGAGTACGGCCGATCCGGCGGCAAGGCCACCATCGGCATTCAGAACATCCATGAGCAGGTCGCGGCACCCCCAACGAAAGGTAACCACAAACACAGCACCACGCACAAAAGCACGCAGGAACCAAAACATCAGTGGGCAGACCCACAGAAGAAACACACGTCAACAAACGCAACAACTGTGCCCCGAACCAATTAAGCTACACTCAGTGAGGAGCAACTCACCAGCCGATCTCCATGCAAGAAGGATGTGTGCACCATGTTGGATCCAAAAGGAATACCATGCACACAAAACCGCACCCAGAACAATGAACAAATTAAGGTAGTCACTGAGAGTAAGTTCCATGCGAGAAAAAAGGGTTCAAACGGTAGGGAAACCCACCTTTATTTTTTGGTAGTTTGGCCCCTTGAACGCAAATTAAGGCAAGATCCGAGAAGATGCGGTCAGCGCGTCAGCCACGCTGCCGCCGCACGTCAGCCGCAACGCGCAGCCACACGAGCCACAGCCCATGCGCCCCGCGTGTACGCGCGCACCTGTGAGCCCCTTGAGCCAAACGAAATTTGCTTGAGCCAAAATGGCTACGAAAATGGCTTTTTGAATTTTTGAAGGAGTTTATATAAAACTTTCCCTTTTTGGTTTTGTTTCTTCAAAGCCGACATGTCGATGCGTCTGTTCAATCTGGACCTGTCAACCTTCACCACCACATCTCGGGCCAAACAGCTGCCATGCCTGCCGCCATGGAGCAAGAACAGGCCGAACCACCAAACGTCCAAACGGAACTTACCGATCAAGAAGAGGAAAGCTTTCACCTCAGTGAGATAACGGGTCGGCACGCTTCGAACACGAGCGCAGCACCACGGGTTGTCTCTTCACGGCAAAGCACGAAGAGAGTCAGTCCGGGAAGGGGAGGAAGATGTTGGGCATTGGGCAAGCATGAAACTAGTTCGCGGAACCTAAGGAAGCTCTTTGTTTTGAATCTGTCCAGAAGCCAAGTAAGCCGGTTTGGGTTGCAGAACTCCATTCAAAAGGACTTCTGCCCAACCTCCAAACGCTCCCTTCCGCTTTCCTCCCTCAAGTCAGCCACTCGCTTCACTCCCCATCTCCGCCGTCCTCTCTCCGCCCTGCTCCAGGGCACCAAGTGTTGTTGCTGTTGGGAGCTCCAGTAGGGCACCTTCCAGGCTCCGAAGCAGCAATAGACGAAGAAGCCCACTACAAAGACGCTCAGAAGGGCCTCAGTGGCTGTCACATGGGCCCGCAAGACCGAAGGACCGTCTGTTTCTCGGAGATGTCGCGGAAAAATATGTGAAACAACATCTTTGAAGCAGGAATCAATAAATGGCGCTGATTCCTTGAAGATACGAAAAAATTGATGGGCGTCAAGTTGAGCGATTAAAAAAAATACACCACCGTAGGCCCCAAACAGTTTGTGTTGTTTATAATCGGAACACTCTGCAACTAGAGATTGCGACGGGCTCGCTTCTTTTGTAAATCCAGAGTTGGGGGACACATGTAAAGGATTGCAAGGCAGGACACAGCAGTCCAGAGCTGGGAGACACATGTAAAGGATTGCAAAGCAGAGGTTGCAAGCGAGAGGCCGACAGCATTGAGAACCCCAACAGTAAACTGCTTGGGGAATGAATAGAAATGCTGCATGGCCAGCGGAAAAGGACGGACACCAGCAGTGACAGAAAGGGCGGACACATCTTAAGAAAGAATTGAGAACCCCTAACACTAAACTGCTTGGGAACAATCACACCACCGTAGACCCCAAACAGTTTGTGTTTTTCATAATCGAGACACTGTGCAACTAGAGTTTGCGACGTCCAGAGCTGGAAGACAAAGAAATGCAAGGCAGAGGCGGAAATAGCAGTCGAGAGCTGGGAAACACATGTACATTTAAGGATTGCAAGGCAGAGGTGGATACAGCAGTCTAGAGCCCAGAGCTGGGAGACACATGTAAAGGATTGCGAGGCAGAGGTGGACACCGCAGTCCAGAGCTGGGGGACACATGTAAAGGGTTCTTGTTGGTCATTGTGTCCCCCTTCTTGTCTCCGGTCTTGCCTCCCTTCTTGTTGTTCACTGTGTCGGCTTGTCTCCCTTCTGTTTCCTTTTGTCTCCCTTCTTGTCTTGCGAGGTGCCAAGCTCTGCCTTGCAATCCTTTCCATTTGTCTCCCAGCTCTCAACTGCCGTGTTGCAATCCTATGGAGACAAGAAGAGGAACAATCGGAGACAGAAGGGACAAGCCGGACGCAGTGACCAACAAGAACGGGAACAAGACCGGAGACAAAGGGAGACAGGAGGGAGACAAGGTGGACACAATGACCAACAAGAAGGCAAACAAGAGACAAGGCAGACACAGTGACCAACAAGAAGGGATGCAAGACCGGAGACAAAGGGAGACACAAGGGAGACAAGGCGGACGCAATGACCAAAAAGAAGGGAGACAAAGGGTGACAAGCCGCGACGGAAGGCGGACACGCTGTCCCGCAGCAAGGCGGACACTCTTAGAAAGCATTGAGAACCCCTAACAGTAACCTGGTTGGAGAAAAGTAAAGAAATCACACCGGAGACAAATGAAAAGAAATGCTGCGTGGCCAGCGGAAAAGGGCGGACACCAGCAGTGCAGGCACCGAACCTGGGAGACAAAAGTAAAGAAATCAGCTGGGAGGCTGGGAGACAAATGAATAGAAATGCTGCATGGCCAGCGGAAAATGGCGGACAGGAGCAGTGACAGAAAGGGCGGATTAAGAAAGGATTTTGAACCCCTAACAGTGAACTGTTTGGTGAAATAAAACATGTTGTCCGCCGAGATGCTATTCCAACACCCAGCATCGCTCCATGTTCATCGCTTCCGCAGAAGGTGTCCGGGTACTTCAAGAGGCTGTATTGGCCATTGGGGTGGCGGTAACACATGAGAGGCTGCAAGGCCAATGCCCCAAGGGCACTGAAGCCAACCTGCTGTGAGAAGCAGGAAAGAGCACAAAAGATACTTGTCTCATGGAATGGGGAAGGAGGGAAAATGCATTTTCAAAAAATGACCCCTGATCGATGCAGACTTGGCAAGGCATGCACCAAATGATTATGTTTGTTGACCCAAAGTCTTCTCTGCCCTGGAACATTGGAACATCCTGGAACCATTGAACGAGTCACCCCAAAAGACTCGGACCGACATCTGAGGCCAAAATCAGCCCTGAGAACTCAGCCCCTCCGAAATCAGGGCCTAACCACTGAGTGAAATCGGCTCGGACGAGGACCACTCGACCCGGTCAGTCGACCTGCAGGAAGATGCCGATGGTGTTGGCTGTTTGGTACAACCTCCATGGTCTGACCTGCCAGATTTCGAGGCCAAACGATGCCGGATGTCTCGGTGTCGGAATGCCAATTTGGATCCAGCTGTTACTAATATGTCCAAACCAGGCCACAAACAGCTGCCCCAATCCTCACAAACAGCTGCCGAGGAAGCGGAGGAAGTTGCTGGGCCCCGTCACGCAAGTGATGCCCAGGATCTCAACGTCCAGAACGAAGACACTGAGGCCGGAACTGGCACCTGAGATCGGATCAGCATGGATGAGCATGGTTTCAGTACGGTTGAAGCCGCGAGTTTTTGTTAAGGCTTGGAGGCCACGTTTGCCGTGTCCCGAGCCCTTCTTTTTCGCATCATGTCGCCCAGTGGCTTTCAAATTTGGGCGTCCACTTCACGGTCATCATGCCAAAGATCGCTAAGCTTTGAAACGCGTTCACGGCAATGCCCGCTGCCATCAAGCAAGCCTGTGTGCACTGCGCGTGGCACCACAAAAAACAACAACAGAAACAAACACACATGCTGCAAGCATCATGCTGCATTCATCTAGATGTTGAATCTGTGGCATGTTTCGCTGTTCCTCTGGTCCCTTTCAGGTCCTTCTCAATTGGCCTGGAAGGCTGAAGCCTTGGTCATCACCTCGGTGTTCACGAAGTAGTAGGCACCAATGAGCCCCGTAGCTGCTACCTGAGAACGGGCCAAAAGAAAAGCGACCGACCCAAAAAGGCTGGAACTGCTTGTGATGGGAAAGGAAGTACAGATTGCTAATAAGAATCACAAGGGGGTATTTTCAGGAAGATCCCACTGTTGGCGGCCATGCCATGTTCAACTTCGTCGCCGGTACCAGAGTTGAGCACTTCAAAATGCGATGTATTTTCTGTGTCGTTGACAGTATATGTGTCGTTGGGATTCAGCCGGGTATTTTCAGGTACACACCATCTCTCCGGATGCCGCAGATCCCCCACTCTGATTTCAAGGGTTCACGTTGGGGTTGGGCGCTCTCCCTTGGCCCGTGCGGGGCGCTCTTATAGTGGAAAAGGCCAATCAGAAAAACGATCTTCACAGAAGCACATTCATAGATAAACAGGAAGACATAAACGGGAACTGGATTCACAACATTCAAAACAAGACCTGGATAGATAGGTATATGGGAAAGCTGGATAGTTCAACTTGAAAAGAACGATCAGCAAGGAGTCAATCGCTCGATTGAAAACCACACCAAGACCTTACCATGACGTGAATAGCACGGTTCCAGACACCCTTCGATGCTGAGCGAAGCCCTTTCGCTCGCAAAGACGCAGGAAACAGCATCTGGGGAAGGGAACTCTCCGTACGGGTGGATGCTAGGTATGAAATCACACAACTTCTTCCAGCACTGAATTCTTTTGAGGCCGGAGTTTTCAGAATTGGAATGACAACAGACAACAGTGATGATGAGAAAACAAAAAAAACATTCAGAACTGTGACGTTGGGGCGGTCCAGTCGAAGCTGAAGCCGACGTCCGGTGAAGCCGAAGCTACGGGTGTGCCGACTGCCCAACCGACCCAATTTGCTCCACACTCCTCGCACTTGGTGCCACTCCAAGCCTTTCCCTCTTCGCAAGAAGCACAGGGCAGGCCTGAGAGCCCTCCAGCACACTGTCCTCGTTGCGAGTGCGCCCAAAAAGTGGGGTCATGGCAAACCTCCCGTTCTACAGCTTCAGTTCACCGTGGACCTCTCTTTCCGTTCGAAACCTTTGCGACCTGATGTCGGACCTCCTTTCGGACGCCCTCGGCTTCTCCTGGTGTTCCACCGGAGCAAAGGTTGGCTGGTCGGCATTCGAAGATCTTCAAGGGATCCTCGGGGTGGGACACATAACCTGCAGGGCAGTGATGATGTCGCAAAACGGCGAAAGGAACTTCTGGAACTTCCGGAACGGCACCAAAAACCAACAGTTTACGGAAGCCTTCTATTTGTATAGTTGACCTGAATGACCTCGGACCACCAACCACTCAACATAAGGTCTTTTCCTATCAAAACAGAGGTCCAATGGGTTCGTATACACACATAAATCATATATGGATACAGATTGATATCGATATTGGTGTTTTTGCAGCCCCATCCACCATCAGGTATTAGTGCAGTTGTTCGATTGATGTGTAGATCTCGGTGGTCTGTTTGTCGTAACCTTGTGCATGAGTCGTGCAATGACACCTGTCATTGGTCTATACTCACATCTAGATTCCAAAAATATCTGTACTTCATGGTGCATAGGAAACAATACTAGTGGAATAGCAGCTTGCCTTGGGTCTGAAATGGTATAAGGCTGCATGTAGCAACAGAAATACTTATAACAGGACGCACGACACGCAAGACAAACGACACGGCACGCGACCTCACACCCTCGTTTCGGGACTCTGACAATGTCTGGTCGTTTTGTCGCATCGCATGGGTTGGCATAGAAGTGAAAGCTATGGGAACACGTTCACTGAGAGCGGCCTCCAACCGCGGCTCGGGGTTCAACCGTGTCACCGATGCATTGGGGGTTCTCCAGCCGTTGTTTCTCTGCAGATGCACCTGCCTTGAAGCACTTCGGGTACATAATCATCTCCCAGGTCTGCCTCACCTTGCGTCAAGCTCTCAATGCTGGAGCCAAATGGACAACGGAGTCCTTCCCCGCATCGCTGGCACTCGAAGTTGCCTGGGTGCCACACACACACATACACACACACACACACACACGTGCACGAGTGCGCGTGTGAGCCAAGTACCACTAAGAAGTACCAAAAGCTGTCAATAAGAAGTCGCACAGCTCATCTCCATGTGTTTTGGAAGTTCTGGATCGGGTTTCCCCAGATATGGAATGATTGATTTTCTGCTCAGGTGTGCGTAGCAGCTCCACCCGTGACAGTCGCTAAAGTTGCTGCGATGTGAAAGTAGCTGCTCCAAAAAAACCATTGAACCCCTCGATCAAGGGTGCTTTCAGCCCTGGAAAAGTACTCCTGCAGTACTGGTAGGGCAAAAGAAAATATACCTAGTAGCGATGGCCTCCAACCAAAAAACGCGATGGAGGCCAACAGTCATCCTCCACATATGCTTCGTTTTTTAGCCACCCGGGTCTCATGTTCCTGTTTTGGAGACCCGGAGTAGCACGTAATTTGCCACAAGTCCGAAAGTGCTCCAAAAAAGAGCAAATACACACGACCTAATAGCTTCTTATTCAAAGAAGTGATGGCCTCTAACCTAATAGCGATGGTCTCCAATGTCTCCAACCTATGCTACTGGATTTGGAAACCTTCATAATCCCCTGAAGAAAAACGATTCAGTCACATGTTGCTGGAAGACGAGAGAACGTTGATGGTCTCGTCTTTGCATCCACAATCGTTGATGGACTGCGAATGAAACCTCACACAGAACTGTCTGCTTTGCATCCATGTTCGTTTCAAAATGATACCGTGTGTGATATGTTTAGTGGGCAATTCTCCAAGGGAGTGCGTGCTGCTTGCATATAGCTTTGGGCTCCAAGAAACCCCAGTGTTGTGGTCCCGGCAGGGCATGGACTGCAGCTACTTTGACCCGTGGCATTCTGGTACTCGCCAAAGCCACAACGCTTGCATGAAATGCTGCCAGTCTCATCCTGGTACTCGCCCAGAGGGCAAGGATCGCACGCGAGCGAGGCACCGGACACCTGACGCGAAGCCGGGCAGCATGTCGGCAAGCAGGTCATGTCTGTTCATGTCGGCCACAGTGGGTGTACTGTACAGTTGTCTTCTATATACACCAATCCTGAGATATGCAAGAGCTGCCGCATCCACACAAATCCAACCTGAACTGGATCAGTAGCTTCTTGTCACCAAACCATAACTCCACTGGTCACCAAACCCCAGCCACCCCAGTGTCCCACCCCCCCTTCGACCTGATAGCTTCCCGGAGAACATGGCAGGCAAATGTGCGTGTCCTGATCACCCGGGGGATCGTACAAGGGGCTGCCTGGCTGGGTCGTACCAGGAGTGGTGGCCAATGGTAGGCGCCAGCTGGAGGTGATCGCAGCTGGTGCGGCCTTTTTGGAAAAGATGGGCAGCTGCCCAACAGGGGATACAAAAAGAAGTGGCGTGCTTATGATGTATGTTTCTTTCGGATTTGACTGGACCCGGAGAAGTACGAGTGCACACCCGGAAGTGGATGGGGAAGTGTGTCAATGTTTGGTGCAGAGAGACCTGGGCATGCCCATGTTCGTTCCCAGAGAAGGGAGCTGTCGGTCGGACAGACCCGACTTCCCGAACAAATACATCAAGTGAGGCATTGAAACGTGCATCACATCTTGATGTATCTCAGAGTTTTCAGAAAGGTCAATCTTTACAATTCAAAGCACCGCCCACACCCGGTGTGAACAAGATTGATGTGTAGATGTTCACTGCAGAAAGCAGAAGATTGATTGTGCCTCAGAATGGCCATTCCGGGGTGATCCTTGTATTTGACCTCTGCAGCTTCATGTCTTTTCACCCACCAATCCGCAGTTCACAGCTTTTCACCACACCGTCCGTCCTCCAAGCTTTGGGAATGGAAGCCCGGCGGGCACGCGTGGCAGGCCAAGTGAGTCGGATCTGCACGGCTCTCCACGTACCTCTCCTTAGTAAGGCAACGAGCGGGGCGAGCCGGACGCGGGACGAGCCGGACACGGGTCCGGCTCGAAGCGACGAACACCAGACAACCGGAGGTCCGTCGGTTTGGCTTCGGGTGGGCTGGTCCGGCACGGTCCTCTGTAGTACTGCACTGCACCCAACTGATGATGGATTTGTCAGGCAGAGTCGTCCTCACTTCTTCGCTACAGACTCCCCCAGCCATCGAAAAAAACGGCAGGCCATGCAGCAAGTAGCTAAAATCTTTGGTCAGAGTTAACGAAAAACGGCAGCCCCATTTGTGCTTGAAGCACAATGGGATCCCGAAAAAAACGAGATGCACACGGCAGGTGGTTCCATCAAATCAGCAGTTCCATGGAGTCGCCGCTCAATGACTCGGACCTCGCCACTCCCGCAACCTCTACCGCAGCGCGGCGCCCCCACGTGGCGCGGTGCTCGGAAAGCCGGCCGAGCGTCTTCCTTCTCGTTGTAGAGGCCGAAGCGTTCAAAGCATTTCGTTTTGTCCGGAAGCCAAGCTTGCCATATCTCATTGTTAGCATGCAGCCACTCGCAGGCAGCATCAAAGTAGCTCATATCTGAGTTCATCTTCTTGAGCCTTAGGTGCTCCACAAACCGACAACGAAGGGCTTCGTTCCTTCGTCCGATTTGGTTCCCCGCCCCGCGCGTGGAGAGTGAAGCAGACCAAGAGACCTTGGGTCCAATGACTCTGAACAGTGATGATTCTTTTTGGGCTGTTGGGATCCTACACCTTCTGAGCTTCACTGACCTTCTCAGTTTGTGGTTTTCACGAACCAAGCTGAGAATTTCAAGTGCGTCAGAGATTCACAGTTTAGGTGAGTGGTTCCTCATTTGGGGCTCTGAAAATTGTGGGGACCCTTCTTTTGACCCCCATTTGAGGTCCAAGGCAAGTTCAGGTTAGAGGCATACCGCGTCAGGATATACCGAGCCACCCGCATGAGAGGTTTGGATGGGATCATGTCTACGGATGGTTCAGGCTTACACCGACTTTCTCACCTTTCAAGCTGCAAAACCAAGTGGCATGATGCTGTTTACGTCTTCCATGTCCAGCAGGTAGGCCTTCATGAACTCTTCAATATCCGGAGCCAATGATGCCAAGTCCTCTGAGAGGAACCCGCCCCAAGCAGTGTGGTCACACATGTGGCTCTTACAGGCTGGGTTTGATCGACACGGCTTTTCATTGCCCGCTACAGGACACTCATGCCTCTCCAGATCAAAGTGTATTTCGACTGCCCAGGCTCGCACAAGCTGGTGGGCGCGCGCGGGGGTGATTTCCTGGACTGCGCTCTGGCTATGTTGCCATTTCTGTACTTGACCTTTCGTGCTACACACAGGCGAATCCTGGTGTTTTCGTGGTCTGTGGCGTCGACGTGAATCGCGTCGCAGCTCGGTGGCGCAGTGAATCGAGTGCTTTGGTGGCACTCGAAGCGATGTGATGTGGCACTGCGCGATGTGATGCGCCTCATTGAGTCATTGTTACTACTAGTAAGGCACCTGTTACTACTAGTAAGGCACTTGTT